TGAAACCTAATTAGATTTCACCCTGTACTTACTAACTTAAAATAGAGGTGAAAACCATGTTTATAAATTAAGGTGCCTCTCTAGTAATCTATACTCATATTGCTCAGCAATGATCAAGACAAATTTTAAAGTTTTGTTATTTACTGTAGTTTGTATTTAAAGGAAAAATATAGAAAATATACATAGACTTGAAAGGAGGAGTCTTCAACGTGTTTTTTAAAGCATCTGATGAACATAGTTCCCTCTAGTCTGTGTGTGTGTGTGTGTGTGTGTGTGTGTGTGTGTGTGTGTTATGGATCCCAAAAAAACATTGTCCCTATACGTCCATGTTTCTGTTCTGTGTATATTTATGAAAGTGAATTAAATCCAGAATACTCCTGCATCTTATACAGTCTAAGCAGAAAGACAGAACAAGCCAAATAAGGATGTATTTAATTTCTACAAGAAGACTTCATGACGTTTATGTTCAAGAAAAAAAATCTATAAATTGTTAGATGTCTTACTTTTAGTGTGGTGAACAGACAGCAGCACACTTCACACTTAACTTTTTAATCATTGCTGTAGTATCCTACTATAGCAGTTCTTTATCATCACCTGGAAACCTATCGCACAAGTCACCCATCTACTCAGGTATGATTTGGTATATTTGTTAAGCACACCATGCCTCCCTTTCCTTCTTCCTCAGTAGCTTCTCCTGCACTTCCAGCTATGAGGTAATTCATGCTTTTCCTTTTCATAAATGCATTATTATTCCCCCTTTACATGTATTTAAAGTCTCCTTTGCACAAGGTAAGTCAATGGCCATATACCCAGCTGTGGGCTTCCAATGACTCATTAACTGAGGGATTTCTGGCATGTAGACAACTGGGGCTTTAGAGGCAAGCCAGTCTGGATTTGCTTCCAGTACCTCCAGTTATGAACTAAGAAACATGGAACATTAAATAAGAATAATCAGTAAAATGAGAATAATAACTTTCAGGTTTATTAAAATGATTAAAAGAGATAATACATATATATAAATAATTATCATATATTAAATCTCATTAAATAATAGCAACTTTCACTATGTTGTTATCCATACTTAAACATTGTAAATAGATAGTGTACAATGGTTTGAATATTGATAACTAGTTATCTGAGATCATTAGCATTGTCCTTATTGTCAAATTATCTATTGATATTTACCTGATATCCCAACCGCTAAGCTTATTTACTTTTTCCTCCCTCCCTTCCTTCTTTCTCTCCTTCCTTCCCTCCCTGTCTTTCATCCTTCTTTTGAGAAGCATCTTTCCATAAAAACATTTCAAAAGTAATTCAAGCTTATTGTGAAAAATGCAAACAATACAGAACTATATAGAAGAAAATGGCAATTCATCTTCTCATCACAAACCATCTCCAATCTCACACCTCTGGATCAAGGTAGTCAGTCTTAAAAGTTTTATGTAGATCACCTCAGATGCTTAGTTATGTGTGTGTGTGTGTTTTATGTGTTGTATTACGTTGGAGAATGTCTGACTTTCCTTTGTACTTATACAACAACTTGGTAGGGTACAGCATTCTAGGGTCTCACTTTCTTGTCCTCAGGATCCAGGAGCTATTGTACAATTGTGTTCTGACTTTAATCAAGCTCATAAGTTGTTCTGCTCAAATCATCTCTATCCTTCATTTTTTTCTGTCATTGATCCATTGGATGCTGAGAGATGCATTACTCCAAATGCAATTATCAATTCATCAAACTTTTATTTTTCTTGTAGCAGTTGTTGCTTTCAGTACTGTGTTTTTCAAGCCATAAAAACTAATGAAAATTATATTTTTGGTAGAATGTAACTTTTATTCATAGAAAATGTTCATCTTTGTTTATTTTAATTCTTTCCTCTTTGAAATCAATTGTGTCTTTTATTAATACTGGCATATCTGCTTTTTTGCTGTGGTTTTTAGATAAAGTTTTAATTTCCTCATTTTCAATCCTTCTGTTTCATCTAGTTGAAATTATGTTGCTCATAAGCAGCTTATATCTAGATGTTTTAAACCTAATCTAAGATTTTAATTTATTAATTTTATGTGATTCTTCAAATTTTTTTGCTCTTGCTTTCTTGTTTTCTATTTTTATACTTTCTTCATTTCTTTTTACATTTTCCTTGCTTGTGATTGTATTGACCACCATTTTATCTGTTTCTCAATTTCCTCAACAGGTTTGTAAACTGTACACATTTTACTTATATTTTTCTAGCAGTTACCTTCACATTTTAAATTTAATGTTTGATCAACTGAGAAACACAATTGTACAGTCTCCTTATTTGAAAAGAAAAGAAAAAAGCAATAAGACAAAATTCCCTTTGACAATCTCTTTCAATACCATCCTTTTCTCTGTATTCCACAATCCAAAATAAAACACTCTTACCAGTTTATTTTGGTTTTCTTCCCCTGACCTTTTTGACATATGTTGGAATACGTTACTTTGCTTTCGATTTCATCTACATAAATTGCATCACCAAGTTCTACATTTAAAAATTTTTCTTAACAAAATGTTTACAACATCTATTCATCTTAATTCACTTAGGTGTATCTGTCCTTCTTTACTGATAAATAATAAGCCATAATATTATTAAATACCATTTTTATTTGCTTTCACAATAATGAATAGTTAATGTCTTTCTGCTTTTTTAATATTACCAACAACTTACAATGAACATTCTAGTACTGCTTCCATGTATGCTACTATAGGCTATTTGTATTTTTAATTTTATTGGATACTGCCAAATTGACCTCTAGATTGTATGAAAGATTATTTTTCTCCACACTCTTGCTAGCATTTCATGTCATTCGCTTTTGAAACATTTACCAGTTTTCTGAGTGAGAAAAATGTTATTAGATTTAATTTGCACATGAATGATTTTATCTTTCTGAATGTTAAATATCCCATTTGAATTTTATCTTTTGTGAGCTATTTGAGTATACACTTAAAAATATTATCTCTTTTTTTACTTTTCTGTTTATCCTTGGAAATTTCTCATACATCCTAGATTCGAATTTTTTATCTATTAAATCCATTGCAAATAAAATGACCTCATCTTCATTAGCTTTATTTATGCTGCCTTTTATGTTAAGAAGCTTTTTCTTTTTCTTTAATTCCATGTGGTTTCTGCAGGTGCTGTCGACCATTCCAGGCACTTTAGATGTCCAGTGCTACTGTGGTTGTGCATGTGTCCATGTAAATGAATGTGTTCAATTATTTTAATCAGATACCAAGTAGATATCTGCAGATAACTGCAGTTCTCCATATTGAAGGTTTTCTGTCATTAGCTGAGACTTTGCCAGGTGCCTGTCAGAAGATACTAGAACACTTAAAGTGGGATGTTTTATTAAGTCTTGTAACTCAATGTCATTACCTCCAGAAATAAGTCTTGAGTCTCAACAGGTGGCAAAAGCGACTGATACCTGAAGCCTATTACATTTGCCATGTTAGTTTGAAACTGGGATGACAAAATAAGTCATGACATCTCGCTTTTGTTCTGAAAAGAAATTAAGGAAAAAACTATCTGTACAAGAGTTACTTTTTCCAATAATGTTTTACTTTTAGAATACATACACTATTTTCAGTATTTGGTTTTTATTATAAAGGAAATAAATATTAATCCTTATTGAGAAAATTACATTTTATAAAGAGAATTAAAATGAACTATAATCCCACTAGCCAAGATAATCACTGAAGACATTTTGATAAATATGCTTTTTAGTTCCTCTTTCTATGTCTGGTTTTGTGTCTGTTTGTTTCAAAATGGCTTATTTAGAGCACAGTACCTTGGAATCTAATTAAAATTTTTTTCTTTAAGCATTTTTAAAATTAATAACTATTTTAATTATATGTGGGATGTGATCTATGGTTAACTGTAATTTATTTAACCAGTTTCCTATTGTTTGACATTTAGAGTATCTACAAATTTATTTTTTAATTCTTGAAATACAAAACCTTTTCTGAATTCATTACATTTTGACCATTACTTAATAAAAATAGTAAATACTCTCACCAGATGTAAGTGATGAAATTTTAAAAAATCATGTGTGTTTGTATAAATCTTAGGTGCAGTATTAAACAGTTTACTTTTGATGTGTTCCTAGATCAGAGCTAACCCACAGAGTGCAAATTTAGTGTTTCTTACAGTCTTCCTTTGCAGAAAATTAGCTCTGGGGAATTCCTAAGCAACTACTTTCTCTAGGCATAATAGACTATTTTTTAAAAACTTCATTCATTTATGTATTTATTTGTTTATTATTTTGAGTTGGAGTCTCACTCTGTTGCCCAGGCTGGAGTGCAGTGGCACGCTCACAGCTACCGGAGCCTCTATCTGCTGGGCTCAGACGATCCCTCCACCTCAGCCTTCCAAGTTGCTGGAACTACAGGCACACACCACCACAACCAGCTAATTTTTTTTTTTAATTGTAGAAATGAGGTCTCGCCAAGTTGCCCAGGCTGATCTTGAACCCATAGGCTCAGGCAATCCTCTCACCTCGGCCTCCCCAAGTGCTGGAATTATAGGTGTGAGCCACTGTGCTCTCATCTTTAATTATTTTAAAAGATGAGAAATTGAAGCCAGAATATTCAGCACTTAGTTAACTAAATGGGAAGAATTCCTGGAAGCGTTCATTTAGAAAATTTGTATTTTAAAATATGCAGAGAAGGTCACTAACTCCCTCTGCAGTGTCTTCTCAACTCTGACAACATAGATTACAAGAAACGCTATTGTTTTATGCATTACTAAGAAAGCGAAAACACTGCCAATTAAATGATAATATGCCATTGTAAAAAGGTGAAAAAATATGACTTAAACATGATAAAATAAATGGAATTACACACTAAAATCCTAATAATAGTAAGAATTAGAAGGCTGACTTGAACCATGCAATCTTTCTACCATACATAGTTTTCTCTATTCAATAAGCTTGTTTCAGTGGCTCATTGATTGACTGTAGCCTCTTTCCTCCTCATGTCTCTTTTCCAGGTGTGGGGAAGATCTCAGGCAGGACCAGCAGCAGCTCCTAGAAGGGATCTCAGAACTGGACATCAAGACAGGAGGCGTCCCCTCTCAGCTGCTAGTGCATGGGGCCCTGGCCATCCCCCTGGGGCTCGATGCCTCACTTGGCTGTTTCCTGGCAGCAGCCAGCTATGGCCATGGCCGGGTGGTTCTGGCTGCCCATGAGGGTCTTCTCTGTGCTCCCAAGATGGGGCCCTTCTTGCTCAATGCTGTGCGCTGGCTGGCCAGAGGACAGACAGGCAAAATTGGGGTGAACACAAGTCTAAAAAATCTGTGTCCCCTACTGTCAAAGGGTGGCCTAGAATGCAGTCTGGTGTCCCATCTAACCAGTGACTCGTGTGTCTACTGCTGTGTGGCTTACAGTGACAAGGAGGCTAAGCAGCTACATGAGTTTGTGGCCGAGGGTGGAGGATTGCTGATTGGGGGCCAGGCCTGGTGGTGGGCCTCGCAAAATCCAGGTCGCTCCACCTTGGCAGATTTCCCTGGTAACGTCATCCTCAACTGCTTTGGCCTCAGCATCCTGCCTCAGACTCTCAACCCAGGCTGCTTCCCTGTTCCCTCCCCTGAGATGAGGAGCTACCACTTCCGCAAGGCACTGTCTGAATTCCAGGCCATATTGAACCACAGGGGTGGGAACTTGGAAAAGAGCTGTCTGGCAAAGTTGAAAATAGATGGTGCAGCCTTCCTACAAATTCCTGCAGAGGGGGTTCCTGCTTACATATCCTTGCACCGGCTTCTGAGGAAGATGCTGCGACAGTCAGGACTGCCAGCTGTGAGCCGGGAAAATCCAGTTGACAGAGACTCTTGTGAGGCTGCTGTGCTCTGCCTGGCCACTCAGCTGGCACACTCTGGCACTGACTGCTCCCAGTTGGCTCAGGGGCTTGGCACCTGGACCTGCCCTTCCAGTTTGTACCCCTCGGAACACCCCATCACTGTGGAGATTGATGGAGCCAACCCAGGTATGGAATGAGCAGACACCACCCAAAGCATTAAAGACCTGGGGAAAAGGGAGACTGGCTGACTTCACAGGACATTGCAGGTACTGACCCCCAGGAAGACCAGCTCCATGTTTTATCAAGTACTTTCAGAAAATGGGAGTTGGGGTTCTGCTTAAGGTTTAGGAGGGATGAGTCCAAGAAAAGGCCTGGGGTAATTTGAGGTACACTGGGGAGAAGCTGTGCCTCTGGGAGGCCAAGAGGCTGCAGATGGAGACGGAGTCATGCTGGAGGGAAGAACTCAGCTTTTGCTGTGACTTTTGTCAGGAAATGATGATTCCTGGGTGAGTACGGGGCTCTACCTCCTGGAAGGAAAAAATGCAGAAGTCATGCTGTCTGAAGCTGCTGCCTTGGCTGGCCTGAAGGTAAGACCCAAGCACCCCCAGCCTCCACCTCTCTAAACCCTAGAGCTGTGTCACTTTTATCAACTGTCTAGTTGCAGCTCACAGCAATGCTGCTAGGAGCATAGTAGCATAGTAGTCTGCCCATTGTACAGATTTTACAGATGAAACGGCCAAATTCAGGGAGCCTCAGTGAGTGACTAAAGGTCCCAGTGTAACCACGCCAAAGGGGCTCACAGGCCAAAGGGGCTCACTAGAAGCCAATGCTATGGCACTGGGTTTTTGAGAAAAGCTTTTGATTGCAAGTCAACTAACAAGGAGTCAGGAATTCAGCTCAAATCTGTCTCTCTGGGCTGATTTTAAGGCAGTAATGTTTATTAGAAAGGTTTATAGGGTGGGTTCTGGGATTGGCAGGTAATGGGCAGAAAGAAGGGGGAAGGCTGGAAAGTCCTCAGGCATGCGCAGTTATCTCTTCATGCCTTTTCATGGGTCCAAGGTGCACATTTGGAGGGAGTTATCATGAAACATGAAGTGGGAATTGGGACTGCGACATCAGCAAGCTGGTTCTGTATAAACTCAGGTTGGCCATGTTGTTTCCAACTGATTTGGGCCAGTTTTTTAAATCTCACAAGTGGAGGGAGTATTTCAGCAAGTTGTTTTCTTTTCTTATCTGCTGTCTTGCAAACTCAAGAATTATGGTTACTTTGTTGTTTGCTAACTCTGAGGCATGGTTTTGCTAGCTACTATTATCAGGTCCTGTACTCAAATCCAAGTCCACTGATTTCCAGACAGGATGATTTTTACCTACCGACAGGGATGTAGAGAGACACTAAATGTGAGGAGGAGTACCCGTTACATATCAGCACCTCAACTGTTTCTCCAACAGTACAAGGTCTGAAATTTACCTCTTTACCCCAAAGGGTATGCTTAATTCCATCACTCCCCATAATATGCCCTACATGCAGATTTAAATTTGTCCTGCCTCCTGACTCTGAGGATCACTTCCTATTACAGTTAGAGTCTCTTTTGTGTCAGCATGCTTCTGGAACTCGCTTACAGAAATTCCTAAAAAACAATCCCAGGACTCAAGACAAAACAGATTTCCATCCATCTGGCCAATAAGGGGAGTTTTAGACAAAAAAGAGAGAATCAGCCTCACTGCCTCTAGATGGATCTCCTGTGTGTTCACAGAGTCAGACCAGGGTCTCCAGCTCATCCCCAACATCAGAGTCACCACACTGGCTTAGACCCTTGGTAGAAAAGCCCCAGAATCTGCTGGGTAAAAAGACATCATAAGATCCCCCTCAGACCCTCCCACTTGGAGGAAGTCACCAAATTGTTGACCCATAACCTGACTGTAGCTGAGATAACACCAACCAGATACCGCCAGGTGGGCCACTACCCAAGATGAGCCATCAAGACACACCCTGTGCCATGCCCATGTTTCCCATACCACGTTTCTACTTTTAAACCCTTGCATCCAGTCTAAAAAGTGGAAATGTTTTTTTTAAGGCATGAGCCTGACCATCTCCCCATCTGCTGGCTTTGAGAATAAAGTCACTTTCCTTCCATCAAAAAAATTAAAATAAAAAACAAAACACTTGCCTCAAGATCAGCCTGGTCTCTTACCAACTCATGTCATGTGGAAATCCACTGTAGAGCTAATTAAATTCCTGTAAAAAAAATGATTTTGCAGGCTGAGGCTGAAGGATTACCTGACCCCAGCAGGTTGAGGTTGCAGTGGCCATGAGCATGTCACTGCACTCTGGCCTGGGTGACAAAGTGAGACTCCAACTAATAAAAAAAAAAAAAGATTTTGCATACTTTCTAGTCCTTATGACTTTAGAATGCTAAAACTTCTTAAGTTTCCATGCATAGCTCACAGAAAAGAAAAGCTGGGATTTCATGGGCATGTTGCCTAATACCCCAAACACAGCCCCCAACACACATCCTAAGGACCCTAGTTCTTCCAACACATGGTGGAATCACCTGTCCAGGTACAGATTGGCTGCCACACCGATGACCTGACCGAGGCCAGCAAGCTTTCTCGAGCTCCCGTGGTAACTCACCAGTGCTGTATGGACAGGACCACACGTTCAGTCTCTTGCCTCTGGGGTGGCCTCCTCTATGTCGTCATTCCCAAAGGCAGTCAACTTGGCCCAGTGTCTGTCACCATCAAGGGAGCTGTACCTGCCCCATACTACAAGCTGGGTAAGTAGACTGAAAGTTGAGGGAGGAGGGAGAGCTGTGGATGCTGTAGAAACTGTGGGCTGGTTGTTAAATGGGAGAGGGATGAGGCTTGGTGGAGAGAATGAGAAAGAACTGTTAGAGGAAAAGCAAAAAGCCAGGAGAGACAAAACACCCAGTCTTCATGGAGACTGCGGGGCAGGGCAGACAGAGAGAAGAATCAGGAATCAGGAAACCTGTTTTTTTTGTTGTTTTGTTTGGATTTTTTGAGTCAGAGTCTCACTCTGTCACCCAGGCTGGAGTGCAATGGCACTCTGCTCTGCTCTCTGCCACTGCAGTCTCAACCTGCTGGGCTCAGGCGATCTTTCTGCCTCAGCCTTCCAAGTAGTTGGAACCAGAGGCATGTGCCACCATGCCTGGCTAATTTTTTGATTTATTGTAGAGATGATGTCTCATTGTGTTGCTCAGGCTGGTCTCAAACTCCTGAGCTCAGGCCTCTACCTCCCAAAGTGCGGGGATTCCAGGCATGAACCATTGCGCCCAGCTAGAAGCCTGTTTTTTACTTCTCAGCCTGTAGGCTCAGATGATAGTAGTTCATTATTACAATGTTCTCCTCCTGGAGTTGTATATTTCAGCTCAAGAGAAGTTGGGGAAGTGGATGGCAGGTTCCATGATGTTTATCCCCAGGTAAGACATCCCTGGAGGAGTGGAAGAGGTGTATACAGGAGAACCTGGCTCCCTGGGGAGAACTGGCCACAGACAACATCATCCTGACGGTACCCACCACAAACCTCCAGGCCCTGGAGGACCCTGAGCCTGTGCTCCATCTCTGGGACAAGATGATGCAGGCTGTGGCCAGGCTGGGGGCTGAGCCATTCCCTTTCCGCCGTCCGGAGAGGATCGTTGCTGATGTGCAGATCTCAGCTGGTGAGTGTTCCAGGGGAGTCCTCCTAGTCAGTAGCACTATGTATTTATTCTTTTGTCTTTTGTTCATGTCCAAGTTGTGTAAAGCATAATTTTATGAGTAAAGTAAGGGGAGAAAGACACAAGAGGCATAAACTATGAGGAGAATGAGAAGATGTTTACATTTTAAAAAGTAGATCATTGGCACCTGCAATGTGGGATTTCACTGGATAGTAAAACAATTTTAGAAGAAATGGCACTAGGAATTCATAAAGGGCAACAAGGGTCATTTCAAGGAGAGGATACAAAATGAATTGTTTTCTTCAGACACAAGTCCCAGTTGAAAATGAACAGGGGAAATGAGTAAGAAGTTGTATGTTAAATACTGAGTGGCTTAAAGGAAAGAGGAACATAGGAAGAAAAATAAGGAATTCCAGCTCCCACATTGGGAACATTTTTCTGGAGCTCAATTTTTGTATATTTAAAAAAGGGACAAAATTATCTCTGTCATAGAATGTAAATCTAGACAACAGGGATTTACATGGAGGAAAAAGGAATTCCTCTTAGCCTCAAGAATCTCAAAACCAGACATGGGACATAATATCGCAGATTCATATGCAAAGGAAGCTCTCAAAAAAAAGAAAAGAAAAGAAGCAGCAGCAGCAGCAGAAGAGGCATTAAATTACAGCAAGGTTGACTGTGGAAAGTGTAACCAAATTCTTCAGGGTCATAGTGAAGAGGAAGAGTGAGAGGCTGGGAAGAGGACTAGTTACAATTCCATTTCTGGCTAAGTTGAGGAAAGCCATCTGCTTTCCAATCAGCACAGAGATTCTGGGATTGCTGTAGGCAACCAGGATGACGAGGGAAAGCCCCATAGTGGAGAGAAATGAAGGGAGATGGTTTGAGTGGAACTCTCCCTCCCCCCACCAACAATGCTGTCTCTCCCTTCTGCGTTTTCAGGCTGGATGCACTCAGGATACCCCATCATGTGCCACCTGGAGTCGGTGCAGGAGCTCATCAGTGAGGCAGGCATGCGAAGCAAAGGTCTGTGGGGACCCATCCATGAGCTGGGTCACAACCAGCAGCGACATGGGTGGGAGTTCCCCCCGCACACCACAGAAGCCACCTGCAACCTCTGGTCAGTCTACGTGCATGAGACTGTACTGGGAATCCCCAGGGCTCAGGCCCACCCTGCTCTGAGCCCTCCAAAACGAGAGAAGAGAATCAAAGATCACCTGGGAAAGGGTGCTCCCCTGTGTAACTGGAATGTGTGGACGGCTCTGGAAACATATCTACAGGTACTGAGCAGAAATTCCAGGAGACAGGGGCCACCAGACCCTCAGGAATGCAGCCTCTGGGATCCCAGGAACTCTCTAGGCCCTTCACCATCACCCCCAACCTGGGCCAGCACCTCCCCTGTACATAGGAGAGACTGGGTTGCATGGTAGTGCTTCTTAGGTTATGCTTCTATAAGGTAGAAAGAATGACACCTGTCCCACTTGCTTCCTATGATTTTGTGATGTAAGAGAAAATGAAAAGTACTATGAAAAAAATAAGTAGACATATAGAGTATTGGTAAAGGGTAGAAACTTGTTAGACATTTTCAAGATTGGCTCATATCTCTTCCACTCACTGATTTTGTCCTTGGTCCCCTAATAAGTGTTCCATAAATGCTCACTGTTCTGTTTAGTTTGGGTTTTCCTCATCTTAGTTTTATGCGTCAAGTGAGTGTCACATTGCTTTATAATAACAGGGTCTATCGGGCAACTGCATTACAAGAAGGCATTGTAGGAGATAAATCTGCTGACAAGATTCTCAGATTTCCATCACCCCGTTTGAATCCAAAATGGTTGAAAATAAGTAAATAACTAGTCAACCAAATAGAAGAATGCCGAAGTCCTGAAAGCTGTCTACCTCCTCTAAATTCTTTCCCTCTCCCCAGTTCTGCTTTGAATTTTAATGTTTTTGAGTTGTCAACGTTGTTCCCCTTATCAGACTTCCTGTCATGTCTCCCACAGCCCTATAGATAGGAGCTGTAGGGCACAGTTTTTACAGAAACAATACTAAGTTAAATAATTTAAGCAACCAATCCAACAGTACACATTTCAGTGATGGGTCTAGAACTTCAAATCAGGACTTAATGACAAGCACTCACTAGACTTCTGCATCTTCATACTCTCTCTTTGATTTTTTTTCCTCACTAATTTTCTAAAGAGAGAATGTGAGAAAGCCCCAATGAGGTAACTTTGCATTGCATCAGTTTCCACGATTTTATATAATCAGCTGACATTTTAATGGTAGGTTGCCTCTAAAGTGTAAGTTAAAGCCCTAATTCTGCTCTACTCTCCTACTCACTCATTGTGGAGCCCTGAATGTTGGTTTGCAAAAGTTCTGGACAGACCCATCATCTGGGAATCCAAGACTTGGACTCAGAACATGCAACCGCCTTTGGATTCCTATGCCTGCTAGAGCACTTCTCCCGGTGTCCCTATTTCTGGTGCCTTAGCCCGGCTCTTCATCTTTCTTCAGTCTATTCCAATAGCCTCCTAACTAGTCCCAGAATCTTGCCTCAATTCCTTGCAATCCATCTTCCACATTACCCCTAGAATAATGTTAATACTTCGTCTATAAAATGCTTCAAGTGTTCTCTTGTACATACAGGATGCAGTCAAAGCTGCATAATGGGATAGAGAAGGCCTTTCATGATGAGACTTGCCAACACCTCCAGCTGCATCTCCTAACTTCCTCACCTCCACATGCACCCTGCAGCAAACCAAACTGCAATGGTTATGAGCACATCTTGCTGTTTCAGGCTTCTGTGTCTCCCCATGTTATCTTCCTGCTGCTGGAACATGCTTGAACATCTTATCTATTACCTATCATCTGTCAGAATACAGTTATATTGCCCTCTTCTCCTGGACATCTTCCTCTTCATAAGTTAGCTTTTTCAGTAATTTATTTACATGCCTGTCTCTTCTGTTGACCTGTGCCCTCTAGAAAGACAAGAACTCTTAATCATTTTTGCCTGGCACTCTATCTGGCACACCGTGGATGTCTAAGGAATGTAATATATTTAATAAATATTTCATTTATGGATGCATTAACTAATAAGTGATGGTCAGAAGGACCATGAAAGGCCAAGGCAGTGACAGAAGATGAGCAAATAATGTGGGTATAGTTGTGAGATTCCAAGCGGGACTCAACTTCCACAGTGTCATCTATCCATATCACTTAAATATACATATGAGTGCAATGTTGCATCACTTTGGCAAGTGGCCTCATTCTGTTCTCTCTCTTTTCAGCTCCAGGAGGGCTTTGGGTGGGAGCCATTCACCCAGCTCTTTGCTGAGTACCAGACCCTCTCTGGTCTTCCCAAAGACAAAGCTGGCAAGATGAACCTATGGGTGAAGAAGTTCTCTGAAAAAGTGCAGAAGAATCTGGTTCCTTTCTTTGAAGCCTGGGGCTGGCCTGTCCAGAAGGAAGTGACTGATCACCTGACCTGCCTGCCCCAGTGGCAGGAAAATCCCATGGGAGTGTATATCTGTACCAAGGAGTAAAGGACACCCAGTAACCAGGAAGGGCAAGAGGAAAGATTGTTCCTCCAATGCTACCACCACCGTTCTGGCCTGGTATGCCCAGTATGTGAGCCTGAGTCCTACTTCCCAGCCTGTCTTCAGGAAGGCAGTCAAGGTCATAAGACAAAATGGAACCAACTTTCTCAGGAATGTGCCTTGTGCTGCTTTTTATTGTTTCTCTGCTTATATTCTTGTTCTCACTAGAAGACTTGCTTCACTATCATAGTCTTCCAGCAGAGGGCCTTTCATCCTGCCAACCTGAAGCTTCTGGTTTTGACCAATAAATAGTTCTAAAGACAACTGTGGCTTCTCATAATAACCTGACATCCCTTCTTGCCACCCCTGAACAAGGATTCTCATTTCTTATGCCTTGAGAAGTTTTCTGATAGCAAGAGAGACAAGCCAGTGTTGTGGAGAGAGACCTGAACCAGCTTTAGTTTTGTGAAAAATCACTCAGCCTCTCTGTTTCTGTCTTCTTGTCCATGATATGGGCTATTGTTTGATAATGGTGAACCATGTGTGTGCCTCACAGCCTGAAAACCCAAGTGAGGTTATTTATCAGCTTTCTCTTGGTCCCACAGTAGCCTATCATAGTGTCCAGTCCAGTGTGGACATCCTGAGCACTGAATCTCACTTTAGTGTTGGCCCCCTTGAGGTCATCATTCAGTCCTTGTGTAAGGGTATTTAGAGAAGGTCAATGTTTTCCCAGACCTGGTAGCAGTAAGATAATTATCATCAATATCCTAGCCTATCGTGTGTTTTTTTCCTCTGTCTTCTGGAAGGATTCTCAGGTATACCCTCACCCAAAGAAAAATGGCATGTGCTTAACCTGAGTGTCACAGAGCTATTAGAGTTTGGTCTTTTGGGTTAGTTTTATCTTTCAGTACTTTCATTTCAGTCAAAGGGGAAAGTCACATTAGCAACTGCTACCAGGTCTATTTGTTCTAGCACAAAACAGGCATCTATCTCCTATGGATGACTCGCTATGGAGTCAAAGCTTTCCACGTCTGTTGTGAGAAGTCCCCAGACATGTTGGGTTTCACTCTGGAACAGGATTACTGGACACAACAGACCCAATCCTCACTTAGTGAACTCATAACCCAGCATCCCCTGGGTTATCTTACAATCTCATTCTAACCCATCCTAACTTCTGGTGAGGTAGAGTTCTAATTCACTCCAGAATTAATGGGATATAGGCCACTTTTCTCTGCTTACTTTTTTTTCTTTTTCTTTTCTTTTTTTTTCTGTTTTTGAGTAGGAATCTCACTCTGTCTCCTAGGTTGGAGTGCAATGGCACACTTACAGCCACTGCAGCCTCAGCCTGCTCAGCTCAGGTGATCCTTCCACCTCAGCCTTCCAAGTAGCTGGAACTACAGGTGTGTGTCACCATGCCCAGCTAATTTTTTTATTTATTGTAGAGATGAGGTCTCACCAAGTTGCCCAGACTGGTCTCGAACCCCTGGGCTCAGGCAATCCTGTCGCCTTGGCCTCCCAAAGTGCTGGGATTACATATATGAGCCACCACATCTGGCTCTCTGCTTACTCTTAACCATGTTTTTGTTTGTTTTGAATATCATTCCATAAGGCTTATTGAACACAGAGTGACTCATTGTGAGAACTGACTGTAGGAATGTCTTTTTCTGAATTTTATCAGCACATACTTCTCAATTGGCTGGATAATTTCCTTGTATTTAGCTACTATCTTTTGCCAGGTGCTTTGCAAATGAAAAGCACTCAAGGAGTATTTGTTAAATAAAAGAATGGTAATGACACCTGACACATAATGTCCCCGGAGCCAGGCATGGTGGCTCACACCTTCATCCTAACACTTTGGGAAACTGAGGCGGAAGGATCACTTGAGGCCAGGAGTTCAACACCAACCTGGGCAACCTGGTGAGACCACGTTTCTACAAAAATTAAAAAATTAGCTGGGCATGGTGGTGTGTGCCAGTAGTCCCGGCTACTTAGGAGGCTGAGGTTGAAGGATTACCTGAGCCCTGGAAATCAAGGCAGTGGTGAGCCGCGATCGTGCCTTTGCACTATGGCAAGGGCAACAGAGTAAGATCCTGACATAACTTTTCTGAAGTCTCAAAGCTAATATGAGGAACAGCCAGGGCATGACTGAAGCCCATAGCAATGAAAAAGTTGTGGAACTTTATTCTTCATAAAAAGTTTACAATTGAAACAAAAATTCACCTAGAAAATAGATGAAATTTCACCAAGTTCTGTTTTTTCCTATGTTTACTATTGAATTTTGGTAAGGTGTTGCATCTGGTTTTCTGGTTGCCTCAGTTCCTGATTAGTCTACATTTGGGCAATCCAGGCTTGGGAGAGAAGGGATTTGAACTCAGACAATTCAGCTCCAGAAATGGTGTCCTTAACCATGATGTCAGAAAGGATGAATGAATGAATAATGTCCTAGAACAAAGACAGAACCTGGCTTTCTCTCATGCTCTTTCCAGTAGAAGTTGGAGTCTGTGGCTCCTCTTTCTTGCAAAGATAGGTTGTGGCTTTGCCTTTTGTTTTTAAATTCATAGTTAATTGTAACTGCAGCATACTCTTGTCATTTTGTGTATTCACAAAAACTAATTTGCTGCTAATAGCAAGAATACTGCATGATTTATGAGACACTTCCATAATTTTATTAATTTTTTTTATTTACTTACTTATTTAGACAAGTTCTCATTATGTTGCCCAGACTGGTTTCAAACTCCTGACCTCAAGCAATCCTCCTGTTTTGGCCTCCCAAAGTGCTGGAATTACAGGTGTGAGCCACCATGCTCAGTCCTTACTTCCATAATTTTTATTTCTAAGTCTAGAAAAATTATTAGAAGAAAAGTACTTATACACAATAGGATAAGTAATGAATCTAGGTGGTCTCGCTTTGGAATAATTCTTCTGGTTTCCCTTGGACTCTATATTTTTGCCCAGTCATTGCTGTTCAGGACATTGGTTTGACTTGGTTTCCTTTTTCCTTCCATCAACCACCCCATCACATTGGTAAAGGCCTCATCAGTTTTTCCTTTGGTATCGCCAGCCTCAATACTGAATCCTCTTGGTTTGGAAAAAGTTGGCTCACACTGGTGGCAGGTGGGGCACAGAATCTAGGTCTGG